TTTCATTGAATTTCAAACGATAAAAATCGGGGCCGAGCGAAAATATGTATAAAAATCTAAGTTCCCGGTTACTTTCGACAAAAAGCTGACAAGAAGATGTACAACTTCTATCGGTTTTCAATCATTATTTGCAAAGATTTTAATCTGATCTCCCTTCTAACTTTTTTCATATGGGAAAAGCGAAAAAAGGAGCGTATGGTGGGAGCTAGAGAAAAAAGGTCGCTCCGACTCCGCTCTCAATAAAAAAGATACCGCTCCGACTCCGCTCCAGCTCCATCTTTCCCATTAATTGCTCCGCTCCGTGGAGCCGCCGCTCCGGAGTCGAAGCTGCCCATCTCTGATCTCTGATGATATTCATTTGACATTGATTTTATTCAGAGTTTCAAATAAGGAAACACTTGAAGTCAACTCTTCTTTCAGATAATCTTTTCATCACACCAGAAAGAAGATATATGTTACCGACCTCAATGGTACTTGAATCCGCATCAATCCTTTCTCCCTCTACGATTTCATCAAATGCTTTTGAACTCATTACATCTATCCGATCTGATTGGTCTCCATCGAACACTCGGCTCATACCATTCACGGAGAGTCTAACGAATACAGTCTTCGGTATGTTTGATTTGCGTACAGATGATACTTCTTCTGGTCTAGTTATTAAAATATTCGGCGATAAAACGGAGATCCTGATTGATCGTCAAAATGAAAAAGAAGTTATGTTAGCCCTTGCATCGAGACAGCTTGCTAAGCCATTTCTTCTTCAATTTGGTAATGGAATTATTTATGGATTCACGCCTGGTGATGTTTGTTCGAGAGAGGATATAGCAAAAGATGAGATTCGTCCACTGATTGCTCGAAAATTGGCTCAGTTTCATTCTGCACCTTTGAGTGATGAACAAAGGCAGAAGGGGCCTTGCGTCATACCTCTCATTCGAAAGTTTATTGCTCTTCTCGAACAGCATGGTGGAGAACATGAAAAGAAAGGTTAGTTTTTGAGATTACCTCTGCATAAAAGAACTTTTTAGTTTGAGGAATTGAGAGAAAACATAGCTTGTCTTCAATTCATTGAACATCATCGACTAGAATCGTCGTTCATCATCTTAAACATTTTCTCTAAAATATAAAATTATATTGGGAAAAATCTATGGTATACTTAAGGAATATCTGACTGCAGTCAAAGCAGTGATCGTCAGACTTTGACAACTAAATTTTTTCAAGCGGATTCTTCAATAAATTATCACTTTTTACTAGCCGAGGACCACATTGGCTTGTTAACTTGTTGTGACTTCAGGCATTTGACTTACTGAGTTCCTGTGAACAAGGAACGAATATACGGTACTTTTCTCCTATATGATTATTTCTGACATGTACAAAGGACGGGATCGTTCAGAAGGGAAAATAGATCTTTTGTCGGAACTCCATTTTGACTTTCGTGTTTTATCATGTTGATTGTGAAAGTCTACTTCTATTGGAAATAGATTACTTGATACGATTCACACTGCCCATGAATCAAATTTGTTGCCTCTCTGTTGCTTTGCTGTTATTTATATCATACACTGTCAAAAGCATTAGAATACTGAATGTTCCGATGACAATTGTTCAACTCATTCATTCTATGTTTAGTCGAATTATATATTAATCGTTAAATCTAATCAGGATGTGCTTAAGAAATAACCATATATCGATAAAAAAAAGTTGGAGTGTTTCATTTTCGTAGATTGCTCGTGAAAATCTCATCTAATTGGTAACTAGCTGGAATGAATGGGTCAAACTATTATTCTTGAGAAAATACTCTAATCTAGAACTTTTGACAACATATGATATAAATAACAGGGAAGAACTAAACCGACTCACATACAGTGTGGATTCTACTAAACGGTCTATTTTCGATAGACACAGTTTTTTCACAACCAGAATAATGAAATGTAAAAGGCAAGATCTAAAATTGACAGAGGACGATTTCGCTTTTTTAACGACTCTCCTCCTTCTTATGTATTTTACAGCATAAAGGTCATTACAGCAGATTTATAATATCAATGATTTCTGAAATTATCGATGCAAGATGTCTGCACTAATAATATTCTGTTTAAACGTATTCATTTTAGAGAATGATCTCCGAGAAATAAACTTTTCAGAACGCTTTTAGATTTTTCTATATAATTTTAGGAATTCTTCTGAAAAAGATTATAATATGAAATACATCGTTCAGCTGAAATAGAGCAAATCACTGGTATTCCATGATGAAACTTTAGGAAACAGTAATTTTAGAGTTTTTGACTATGTATGAGAATCTGAGGAACATAAGTTATTTCGATTCAAAGGTTTATTTGTGTTTATGTACACGTAATGGTGACTCGAAACAGTAATAATTGTTCATTTCTCTTTTGGAAGACGCAACATTCATTTCAGTTTGATGTCTTATCCAGATTTTTGGCTTTAAATACAACTAAAATATTCGCAAAAATATGTGGTACTGATCCTCTCTAAGAGCGAAGACCTACAATTTTGTCAGAGATGAATCGAATGTGTTAGCTAAAGATGTAAAAACAAGAAATCAATGAATTGTCAACACAGGATTCAACCTTTCTCTCATGTGATGCATGACAAATAGAATTTTTTGTTTGTCTATTATCATGAGTTGGATGAAAAGCAAGATTATTTCTTCTATGATTAATCGATAGTCAGCGCGTTCAGTAAAATGTGAATAAATCGTTACTATTTGGTAATCCGAAAAGGCATTTAACAGCAAAAACAACAGATTTTATTAGTGTAACTTCCTTTCTTGCCTATCTTAGCAAAATATCAAACATCAAACATGCATTAAAACCAAAAATAGTATTCGAAATTGTGTTTTCGAAATTTTCGTTTGCTATGGTATTGATTTTGATATAGTTTTGGTGTTTGATAGTATTGGTATTGGTATTGAGGCTTTCAGATACTAGAAAATAAACTGATACTGAAAGGATGAATCTACAATGGTTTTGTGTCAACTTATAATGTATTTCGTGAAATGAACTATAAACTCTCCATTATATATAACAAGTAT